ACTTTTCTTTATTTTCTAAATATTTTATTTACTAATGGTTAAACAGTCTAGTCATTGTTTTTAACCGACGAAAAAAAGGAGGAGGTTCTCAAGTCGACGTGTATATTTTCTTTTTAGGTATGAGCACCTATAACTTTTGACAGAATAGTCCGATTTTGATAATTCTTTTTTTATTGGGAAGGGTATACCCTGGAGTTGGTCCCATATAAATGTGGAAGAAAAAATTGAACTCTAAGGGTAGGAAAGCAGGGGATGATTGTTGATTGTTGTTCACTTACTGATTGTAATGTATGACCACGCACAACTTTTGACAGAATAGTCCGATTTTGATAATTCTTTTTTTATTAGGAAGGGTATACCCCGAAGTTGGCCCATATAAATTTGGAAAAAAATTTCAACCCTAAGGGTAGGAAAGCAGGGGATGATTGTTGATTGTTGTTCACTCACCGATTGTAATGTATGACCACGCATAACTTTTGACAGAATAGTCCGATTTTTTAATTCTTTTTTTATTAGGAAGGGTATAAGTACCCCGAAGTTGGTCCCATATAAATTTGAAAAAAAATTTCAACCCTAAGGGTAGGAAAGCAGGGGATGATTGTTGATTGTTGTTCACTCACCGATTGTAATGTATGACTACGCATAACTTTTGATAGAATAGTCTGATTTTGATAATTATTTTTTATTGGAAAGGGTATACTCCGAAGTTAGTCACCGTTTAATCAATAATCTTTGATGAAAGGGCCAAAAAAGCAAAATAAAAACACTAAATGGTGCTAACATTCTTTGAAATTTTTGTCTTCATTTTCCCGTTGGCAGATATCGAGAATTGAACTACAGTAACTAAGGTTAAGTGGCGTCCAAGGAGCAATCTAAAAGTGCAGCCCCGTTCCTATGTGAAAAGAGTACTAAGCCACCATACATTTCCGACCTATCATCGGAAAACTTCCATATCTTCACCTTTGGCCTATTTCATCCCATTCGCACTGGATATTCATAAGATCATAAGCAATAGCAGAAAAATTTGATATACTTAACTGATGTAGATATTTGAACTAAATTTTTTATTTTCTAACAGAATATTGGTTTAGTTACTCCACTCTATATTATTGCCAAAGTTAAAAAGTTATCGCTCAATATAACCGTAAGGCGTTTCCGTTTGATTAAATTGCTATCTATCCTTTCTGTTAATCCAACTTCTGACTTGCTTTATAGGGTCGTAAACAACTGATTATGAAGGAGTTGTACGAGGCTGTCAAATTGTGTTGGTAACGCAGTAACATTTTCATTTCTTCAATATTTACAAAACCCGAAAGAAAATATGAGTAGAGATATTCCAATATCTCATGGGTCGCAAAATGCGTAAAAGGACGAAGCTTATTGTTGTACATTTTACATTTCAATAAAAACTTTTCAACAAAAGTTTAAACCGCCGAAAAAACTGAAAAGCAAGAAATAATAAACTTTTATTTTATTAACCTTAATAACCAAGTTCTTCAACTAATGTAAGTATACCTAAGTAATTTTGAGTCGGCGCTAAACAATCACCAAACAAAGATCTCTAAATTACCCTAAGGGTAGGAAAACAGGGGATGATTTATAGTAGGAAAATATTTAATAGAAACAAAAGAGCAAGTAATAATAAACCTTTATGTTATTAACTTTAATAACCAAGTTCTTCAACTAATGTAAGTATAACTAAGTAATTTTGAGTCGGCGCTAAACCATTTTATTGATCATTAAATCACCTTAAATTTAAAGAAATAACCAAATTAACAATGCAATGGTTATTTCTTTAAATTTAAGGCAATTTTGTGATCTTTGTTGATTGTTGACTCAAAATTATTTAGGTATACTTACATCAGTTGAAGAACTTAGTTATTAAGGTTAATAAAATAAAGGTTTATTATTTTTTGGACTTAAGTTTTTTCGGCGGTTTGATTTTTTTGTTAAAAAGTTTTTGTCAATTAAGGAGTGTGAATAGNAAATTCATAACGTAATTCATGCATTTTGGCGGCAACAACTCCTGATGAATGTGCCGGTGCGTTATCGTGTTGAAAACGCACCTTTTTTTTCGTCAAATGCGTCCGTGTCTCCTTCAATTTTTTGTCGAAGCGGTCTAATAACTCACTGTAGTATTGTCCAGTGATCGTTCTTCCCTTTCCTAAAAAATCCGTAAAATGATTTCCTCGGTAACGTTTGCCAGGCTTCCTGGTCGCTCCTATCAAAACGGATCTTTGCCCACGTTTAAATTCGTTGAAGCAATATCTAACTGTGGTCGTAGATGGCGAAATGTCTCCATAAACAGTATCCAACTTTGTTTTCATCTTCTCGCATTTTTTCCCACCCAAAAACAAAAAGCGGGTTACCGAACGAAACTGCTTTTTTTCCATCTTAGCGAAAATAACGAAACACGTCTCAGTCGAATGGCTGCCAAATCCAAACTAACCTATCAATCAGTCTGAAATTCGTTTTGGCGTGGTTTGATAGATGGCAGAACACGATGACAACACCAATTTCCCTCAGGGACGTCCTCTGTCTTCAAACACGGGTACTTATTGAACCGCCCTCGTATATATTTAAAGGCATTTAAAGTTTTAAGTACTTGAGATGTTCAGAATAACTTTCTATCGTGATGAAAAAATTTAAGAACTGCAAAGTTAAGAAAAAAATTAGAATGAACTGCGAACGTCACATTTCCTTAAACCAGCCTCCCCCTTGACATAACTCTTCACGCTAAGTAATACCCAGTGGCGGATCTAGGATTTACAATTGGGAGCGGGGAGATGCGGGGAGAAAAATTGGAATGTTGCCCTTCATTCATATATACATATACTATTTTTATACGAGGGGCATTCAAATATAAACGAGGCTATCACTTTTGGAGACATACATAATATCCAACGAAAATAATTAGTCGGGCCGCCGGGGGGGGGTGGCTACACTACCACAGTCCACCCCCAGGCAATACCCTTATCTCCCTCCCTCTTACTTGCGAACGTATTTCGTGAACGGTCCTAATGTACTTTATTACAGAAGACATTATAAAACAAATGTTAACTTTTAACAGGTACCTACCTATCTGTAAATGCGGATATTAAAATTCCTGCGGATAATTCGTAGTTGAGGATGCGGATATCCGATCCAATCTTATGAAACATCTGCAAACCAGCTGCCGCTGCCTGTTAGTTATCTAGTGAAGAAAATTTACCTAACGCTGTCTTTTTTGTGTCTTTTCTATCATCATGTTAGTACTTTAGGTTATAAAAGTTTGTGATTTTATTTTGTGCAATACATAGAATTCTTTAAGCTTATACCTATAAATATACGACGCAAATAAATTCTAAATGCGTGATCCATTAAGTAACTTTAAAGCGAGAAGTTTGCCTGAATCGGATGTTCGCTTGTACTTTTGGAAGTTGATCTTTAATGCTGCCGGAAACTGTTGTGGGAATTTCCAAAATGTCCTTTTAACGCGAAATGACGTTTGCAATACATATAAATGGTGACTGGGAAATACGAAGGTCTCTCAGGAATGTCCCATTCCTCTCAGGTTTGTTCTTGTTTATTGAACGCCTTAACCGATAGCTTTTACCTAATGGAAATTGTATTAACAGTTTAAATCACATTAATTCCGACTATGACTAATGGATAAATGTTAATATTAGTTCTCTTTTAACAACAACCTTATATTTCTTACTTCATCGTAATTATATTTGGAGTTAATTATAGTAATTTAATTATCAATTTTTGAATAAAGTAGGGGAAGTCCGGGAGACTTGCTCAGATGGGAGAGTTGAACCACTTTTTAAAACTTAAATTTCGCGCTAACGAAACGCCAAGACGGTCATTGGTAGAACACCGGAGGCCAATAACCAGCACGCCGCCATTTTTTACAATGGCCCGTTTGTTTGGCTCTCAAGTTCGGAAAGGTGTTTTGAAATTGCGACCGTGTTTATAGAGGTACGTATTGTGTCTCATCACTATTGTACTGCCTGATTATTGTAGTTTGACGTGAGCTAAGTGTTTTCTCGCTAAGATTGATTGTATTTCCTGTGAGTAAAATTTAATGTCAAAGTAGTATATGCGGGAGGCTTGAACCATGGCGGGTGCGGGAGATACAGTGTTTTTATGAGGATTTTTGAAGTTTTATTTTATAGATGTAGAAATTTAAAATTTTTTGACTAAGTTTCTAAATATATTGATGATTTCATTTGTCATGAATATGACCAGAATTAGATTTTTAGTTTACCAGCTGATTGAAAGTAATTATTAAGGCTAATTGATGGTACCAAATGACTAGAATAAGTATATAATTTAAGCAAAACGTTAAGAAAGACCAACAAGTTTGATTAAAGAAACGTTAAATGTTTAATTTTGTTAACAAAATGTTGAATAATTATGTTGATTGTGGAATGTTAAAGAATATGTGGAAGTTTTCTTTTTTTTTCTTTATAAGAAGCAATACCTGTGTTTCTTTATAATTTAATTTCATTTTGTGATGTTTTGTTTAATATATTTGTGATTTAAGCTGCAAAATGTTTCTATTTTCCCCTTTAAAAAGCAATGTTCAACTCTCCCTAGACCCCGGTTCAAGTATCCCTAAGGGTGGGGAGAGTTGACTCATATCCCATTTTTCATTCAAATATATACGTATAACATATTTCAGTACTATTATATCGAAAAAGTAATTATGCATAAGTAAATCTAAATAAATAAGCTACTGTTTATTATTATAATCGAATCACTAAGCCTTATTTATAAGAAAATACGATACTTTAAACAAAAAGCGGTTCAACTTTCCCGGACTTCCCCTACTATATAATCAGAATTTTAGAAGTAATTTTGGTTTCAACATTGTCACGAATACTTCAAAAAAGATGCTTTAAGCATTAAAATAATTTCCTTTACCCTTTAACATATTCAAATTGAAAGTTTGCCCTTGAAAGCATTTGGTTTAAACTTTATCGTAAGTTATGCCATGATTTTAACGATAATCGTTTATATTAATCTCACTTGATACTGAAGTTTTATACTTTTAAAGCAAAAATTATCTGCTTAAAGAACCATGCCCTTTTTAAAGGTAAATGTTTGGTACCCAAGGATGTAGCCTAAGATTTTTCCTAAGGGGGCAGATTTTTAATAGCTGCAAATTTATATAGGTTTAATGTGTTTGGTTTCTATGGTTTTAGACTTTCTGTCCATATCATGACTTTTCTAGGAGGGGTAATGAGCTTACCCTTACCCATCTACGCCCAAGTTGGTACCAAAAATCACTGTATACGTGAAGTATTTGAAAGGAATAATAAATTTTAAACATTAAAGTGAAATCTTTATATCTTCTACAGCTTATCTCAAATTAATCATGAAAAATTGTTGCTGCTATTATGCCCTCGTCGAGATTCGGTTAAATTATTAAGTAATAACTTCTTCAAAAAATGCTTCACATACATATGTGCATATTGGACAATACTTGTGCCCTTATATATACCTACCGTGTTGTTGTTGTTGTTGTTCCTGTACTATTCGCAGCTTACTATTAGTGGTCAGAGCTTTGGCGCGTAAAGCCAGGGACCCAGAACGAGCAGCGTGGCTTAGAGGTTTAGACCATTGTTTAACATTTGAGAGGACGCCGGTTCAATTCCGGGTCAGTCTGCCTTGGTCCATGTTTTTCTGTGGCTTCTTTGGATCACTTAGCCAAATGCTGGGACAGTAATCTTCCCCAGATAATCTTTCATTCTCTTCTGCCTTCATTTCGTCCGTCTCATTTTTCTCACCCGAACCACCACCCACCCATTCCCACGATTCCTGAAAGGAGGCTCAAGAGGGTCCCTACCTTCCGGCATAATCTGGAGGGATTGTCCGCCCACCAGCGTTACTGGCTGGTGGAAATGAAACATCCAAATATATATTTGTGGCATGGCCTAGAGGTTTAGACCATTGCTTAGCATTCGGGAAAATGTCGGTTTAATATCGGGTCTGTCTGCCTTGGTCCAAGTTTTTCTGTGGTTTTCTTGGATCACTTAGGCAAATGCTGGGGCAGTAATATTCCTTAGATAATCTTTCATTCTCTTCTGTCTTCATTTCGTCCGTCTCATGTTTCTCATCCGAACCACCACCCACCCATTCCCACGATTCCTGAAAGAAGGATGAAGAGGGTCTTCTGCCCTACTTTCCGGTGTAGTCTGGAGGGACTGCCTGACCACTAGTCTTACCGGCTGGTGGGAATGAAACATCCAAAAATATTTTTGTGGCATGGCCTAGAGGTTTAGACCATTGCTTAGCATTCGGGAAAATGTCGGTTTAATATCGGGTCTGTCTGCCTTGGTCCAAGTTTTTCTGTGGTTTTCTTGGATCACTTAGGCAAATGCTGGGGCAGTAATATTCCATAGATAATGTAAAATTTAATGTCAAAGTAGTATATGCGGGAGACTTGCACCATGGCGGGTGCGGGAGATATACTCAGTGGTTCATGTCTCCCTCTATAGTGTTTGTATGAGGATTTTTGGAGTTTTATTTTATAGATGTAGAAATTTACAACTTTTTGACTAATTTTCTAAAGATATTAATGATATTATTTGNACGAGGGCATGACAGAACATGTTTTATATATATATATATTGAAAGGAATAAGTCAAATTCCACATAGTTTGCAATTGTTTTATAGTAAAAGAATAGTAACAAAACAAATCATAGGTATTTTTTATAGAACATATTACATAAAAACTTATTCACAAAACAAAAACGAATAATTAATTCTGCATAACAAACAATTATTGTAGTAATAATTGACGTTTTAATGTTAAAATGAAAACAAAAAAATGATTCCAGTTAACTGATAGTGATTATAGCATTAGCTAGGATACAGGAACAATATTGCAGGAATATATCAGGTCTCCGTTGTCTATTAAAGGCTGTAATAAACTATGTTTTAATGACACAACATCCTCATCATCATCAAACATTTCATCGAAATCAGTCAACGGACAGCAGAGTCGTTTGACAAACAGCCTTTTATCTGTTCCACTATTATCCTTAAAGTCCAGTTCGTAAAAGTAATTTTTCGCGTTTTCTTTTGGTCCTATAAATTGCACAGTCCAAAGAAATTGAAAATCACTGTAACAAAAGCCGACCATGAACAACTGACCACAAGCTGGCAAGATGTTGTATTCAGTGTAGTTCAAATTATCCAAACTTTCGCAAATAAAAACAATAACCGGCAGTTCTACGGTATCTTCAGGATGCTGATCGTGAACGTGATCCAAGATGGCCGAGTGAAAACCACTCCATTTGCACTGGGTCCTGTATTTGAAGGGACAATCGTAGATGCTGAGAAAACAAGTGGCCTCGTGCTCCTTGATTTTATCCGGTTTGGCGGTAAAAGAGCAGCCCGAATACTTACAAGGATATTCGATATGTTCCGCCATTTGTTCTAACCGAAAGTTACGGGTATTTCCAATTTGACCCCTATAAAATAAAAACTATCAACTAGGTACCTAACAAAAAGTTGTTGATCAGTTTCGTGTCAAAACTGCCAGACATGGATCGCGATTTCGATCTTACAGGAACTAATCAACAGTATGTAGACAGTTCCGACAGAATGCAGATCAAAGTATCCAATGCCATTATTGCCAGTATTCGACGAATAAGCACAGATAGCATAATACGAGGAGTACCTAAACTCTGAACCATCTGAACTAGCGGCTCATGGAATAAAACTGCCAACAATAGCAACAACTGTATTTGCTCATGTCTAAGTGCAATTACAACTTTATGGTCCCATTTAAACGAAACTCATTTTATATTCTGTTATGTACTTGTACGAATGTAAAGATAGGAGACGAAAGATTAGAAGACGTGGCTGATTTTAGATATCTAGGAAGTCAGATAAGTCAGGAAGGAAGGAGTAGTAGGGATATAAAACAGAGGATAACAGAGGATAGCACAGGATAGAGACGCCTTCAATAAAAAGAAGTTACTTCTATGCTCGCAAACGGTTAATTTAGAAGTTCGAAAAAGATTGTTAAAGGTATATGTTTGGAGCGCGGAGCAGTACGGTTGTGAAACATGGACGGTGGGCGCTACGGAAAAGAAAAGGTTAGAAGGGTTCGCAATGTGGTGTTACCGGCGAATGATGATACCGTGGATAGGGAAGGTTAAAAATAAAGAGGTATTAGAAAGAATAGGAGAACAGAGGATTCTATGGAAGTCAATAAAAAATAGGCAAGATAGGTTGGTAGGGCACCTTCTCAGGCATGAAGGTCTATTCAGAGTTATATTAGAGACAGAAACAGGAGTTAAGAGGATTAGAGGTAGACCTAGATTAGATTAGTGAAGGATGTAGGATGTTCTAGTTTTAAGGAAATATAAAGATTGACTCAGTATAGGAAGGAGTGGAGGTGACAACCTCATGATGATGATGATGATGTTGATGATGTACTTGTGCCTACAAAGCTACTCTGTTTTATCGGAATGTGGGAGATGCGTATGTAGAACAATATTTCTGTTGAATTTCAGCTGCAAAGATAAACTTAATAAGGGCTGTTGTCCCTTAACATTGTCCTAAATAAAATTCGGGCCATCCTTTTTTCTGCAGATTTCAGACATTCCTATAAAATAAGCTTATAAATCTTCTGGAAGTTTTATTATTTCAGCCGCCATTTAAGATGACTCAGAGTTTAAAAAGATATGGTACATACAGGTCTGCGCATGACGTTACCTTGTGAATTTTGTATGGCGCGTTTTCAAATTTATATTACCACGTACGATACAGAATATGAATATTCATAATAGGTACTCATACAAATCATTGCCTCCTACTAGACAACTGTATAAGTGGGTTTACGTATGCTCCAACAAGGTCCATTTGTATGGATATCTACTTGTTGAAACGAATTCCGGCGTAGCTAACCTCAACGTGATAGGCACGTTACCATAATCCAGACTACTTCGAATTGTTTTATTCGATTATGGTAATGGTTTGTTTCAGCAAGTAGATATCCTCAGAAATGGACTTTGTTGGAGCGTACGTAATCCTAAAATGTAGCATCGTACTACAGATGGCGTTTACCGCGCCATTTGTGGTATTTTCTAAAACGCGCTGTTAAGACAGCAGGTAAAAGTCGGTCTGTGTTCTGTCGGAGCTGTCTGCGACGCGCTGATGAGATCCAAAAAGATCGAAATCGCGATCCGCGTCTGGCAGTTTCAACAGAATACAGATCACTTCGAATTATTTTAACAGAATACTAATATTTGAAACATCTAAAATTGATAGAAGAATTATATTCTTTATAAAAATGACACAATGAATATCCAATAACTGTACTGTACTCGAATGCTAGCCACCTTCAGTGGCGTACAAATGGTTTTGTACTCACAAGATGACGTTACTTATTCATTAACTGTTTAAATTTATGATATTTAACTATTACAATTTAATGTTACACATTAAAGTGAAATTAACTTTCTATGTTGTACAGGCTACGCCAAATTATTGAAAAAAAAAATTGTTTCTGCTGTCAGGTTCTCGCCGGGAATCGAACCCGTACCCTTAGTTTACGCACCAATACTCTGTATCACTAGCATACATTAATAACAGTTTTTCTAAATATGTACATATTTATTTAAGTATAATTAGAAACATTTACGCACACATACACTTAAAAATAAATAAAATTGGTTGCTTAATTAACCAGCTATGACTTTTTATAAAATTGTAGGTATACTTTACCTGCATTCAGGACAATCCGTGACCAACTCCTTACACTTATTACATATGGCATGTCCTGTTAGACATTGATAAATAGGCGGTATCATGTATTCGTGGCAGACAGGACATTCCAGGATGTTTAAAAATTGGCTCTCAGGACCCTCAATTTGCAAACTCAGCTTTCGTGCTTTCACGACGTTCCGCTCGATATTAATGGTGCATACAACGGCCAGAGGGTCGTGCAATTCTTTTATTATATCCTTTACGAAAACCTTCTGGGCATTGGCTTTGTTAAACGACGAATATTCGCTATCATTTACGGGTAGTTCCGGCAATGAATAAACATTACTGCCAAATTGTTCAATCAATTTCAGGCGATAAACATAACTGTTGCCGATTTTGTAATGATCAATGCAATACAAAGAATAATAAAACGCTCCTTCTTTGTTATCGAACGAGATGTGAAAAGCAAATGTGACGTTTTCATCTTGAATTAGATAATTTTCGTCGTATTTATTGATCAAATCCAGTTCGAACGTCGGATCGGTTAAAATGAAATTTGCATGAACATCAGCATAATGATCAAAAATAATGTCCAGTTCACCTATCCATGTGCAGGACGACATGGGACATGGATATTGCTTATATCTACAGGTGTTCTCGTGGTTTTTCATTTTGGACGGTATGAACTTCTCCAGACATCCGAAAGTTTGGTATTGACACGGAAATTTTACAAACTGCGCTATCGTTTCGTAAGATAAATTTTGAATCCAAGTGGACTGAATGGCATTTGTTGAAGCACATCTTCCACAAATGGATCCGGCTTGGTCCAAGTATACGGGGAATATGGACAACGGCGATTGACATATCACACATTTGCATGAAGCTCCTGCGATTGCTAACGCGAGTTCTTCCATTTCTATTTGACCTGCATAAAAAAAACATAATTATTTTACAATGAGTGTTGCAATTAAATAATTATTTTACATTTTATATCAACAAAGGTTGTCTTTAACTAATTTCTGGATAGTATTGAAAATTTTTGACCTTTTTTTAGTTATTCATAACTAATTAGAATATTTTTTCATGATATTGCTACATGAATAAATAAATAACTAAAACAAGCAGATTTCGCTGTTATCAAAAAAATAATTCGTTCTTCAATGGATTACAGGTTGAAACATGAGAATAAGAACAGCATTAAATTTAAAAACCTAACCAATTGGATCAATTTTTTGTTTTCATAAAATCTTGACCAAGTCCAAAACCCAATTTCAAATGCCAAAATCTAGTAGGAGAACCAATATTTCGTTACAAGGTGTATAGAGACAGGTCTTCAGGATGTCTACCTTTGGGCAAATTTTCATTTGTTTGTCGAAGGGGAAGTACAATAACCATAGCCTTGTTTATAGATTTTTTTAAGAAAATGTTGACGTGACTGTGATTTAACCATTCGTTATAGTATGAGTACTGTCATGTACACTAAAATGTATGCTGTAATAGTTTCCTTAACTGTAATCGAACCATGACTTGGTCGATAGTATAAAACCAAGAAAACAACATTTACACTCATTAACTAAAACTTTGCATAACAATTGAAATTTAAAACTCGCAAAAGGCTTGCTTCAAACAATTGACAAAATGTTGGTGTTTACCGTGAAATCACGAGCAGTATTTTCTGTTAACGGAGCGAATAAAACACGATATAAAACACTATATACAGACTTTATTTACAAATGAATTATCAACTACAGGCACAACGAAGAAAAATGTGAATTAAAAACGCAAGTTAACAAGAAGAAGGACAAAACGTAACTAACTCTAAATTATGTGACAAAATCACAAATTGTTCTAGTGTCACCACCAATACTTGGTATGCAATAAAAGAATACGAACCAGAAGCCAATAAGGGGAAAACTCAACAAGGTATAACTGCCTTGATCTATAAAATTCCTGTAACCTGCATGCAATTGAAGAGCATCGATAATAAAATTAAATTTAAGAAAGGTGGTTACCGTCGACGACCTTCGCAAAACCTGACCTTTTAGGTCTATTCTTGTTTGTAAAAGAACATTCAAGAGATATTTGACTAGTACCTTTGTAAATATTAAAATTAAACTGAAACAGTTGGTGTGTTTGATTAATAGTTATTCTAGGTACGATTTTCTGAAAAAAATTTCAGAAAACGATGAATTGTCAGCAATGCCGGTCTTACGGTATGTGACGCTCTTAAACAAACTTTAAGTGAGCGTACTATTAAGGGTTTAGGATGTTCGGATGGGGTTAGCCTTGTAAGGGTTCGTATCAGGCAATATCTTGCTGCTAACTATTAGTAGTGCAGAATAAAGCGGAACCAACAAAACTAATTAGCGGTGCTATTTGTTATTCAGATTAAGAACGCATAGACGTTTAATGTTCAGTGAAACGAATTGATGAATAGGACTCGAACAGATGTCCTGTTTATTATTTCAATGATAAAAATGGTTTTATAGGTATACTGAATAATAACAAATAATATTATTAGTACTTTTTTTAAAAAATCACAAAAATATCATCATCATCATCATCATGAAGTCATCAGTTCTAATTGTAAGACTGGTTGGACATGCACTTCTACTTTTTCCTATCCTGAGATAATTTTCGCATTTCGTAAAACTATAATATTCTATATCCGTAACTATTTGCTAACAGTGATCTAGTCTAGATCTATCTCTACTCCTCTTAACTCCTGTTTCTACTTCTATATGTCTGTCACTAGCCCTACATGCCTGAGAAGGTGTCCTACCAACCTATCTCGCCTATTTCAAATTGACTTCCTCTGCTCACTTATCTTTTTAATACCTTATCATTTTTAACCTTCTCTATCCATGGTATCCTCTAACCTTCTCTTTTCCGCCGCGTCCACCGTTCATATTTTGCACCCGTACAGCGCCGCGCTTCAGACCTTTTTCGAAATCGTATTTAATTGCATATAAAAATGCCCCCACGAGGCTGGCGTCTCCATGCAGCACATAGATTCACCCCATCCCCTGAAAGCCGGCACTGATCGTCAATTTCAGGACTTTCTGGTTTTAAAAGGACGTATTACAGAATAAAAAAAAATATAAACTTAGGTATTTAAATAATAAGAACATTATCGCGAATAGGGCATTTAATATCAATATACATATTTAACAGATTGTGCATAAAAAACGATTCGGTAAATTGTTGATAAATAATGATTAGATATAGCGTAAGGTAAAAATGCAAGCACCAAAAAATTAGTGAGGTACACCTACATATTAATATTTCTGCATACAACATATTTAATAATACTGATTTATCATTTATCGGAGATTAATTTATTGGTGACAGTTTAATAAATGGCTAATTGAATAAAAATGTAAATGTTTATCTGTTTAGATTAAAAAAAAATGCACATATATATATATATATATACAATAACAAAACGGATTATCCACCTTTCAACAATTTACATATGTACGTATATGTGCATGCAAATAGTAAAGACTCCCATAAAGAAAAGGGATTGTACAAATCTGTTTTATGTACCTGACCCTCGATTTCACCTTCTCAAGATATTGTTGCTTAACAACGCTCCCATGTTTTTAAATTTAATTAAAGTAAAGCTAACGTTTCCCAGTTTCAAGTTCCGCATAAAAAAATACACTACGACCACAATACTTACGTGCTTTGAAAAAAAGAATGGCACTTTTAGTTTGGGCATTCAAACTTTTAATTTACTATGAAACATTACACTTTTACATTTTTAATAAACATTAAACGTCAGGACCGGGTATTCACATTAACACTCGCCGAAGTGTTGGAGCACTCTGACCTTCGGCGATTCCACTGGATTCCATACGTAGCACATGCGAGTAATTTTGTAGTTGTACTGGTTTGGTCTTTTATGTTTTAGAAAATTATCAATTCGTAGGTGATTGACGGTATGTAGTTGAAAATAAATGTGACTAACGAGCGAATTACCTTATCAACATCAACCGATTCACGTCAGATTTAACTTCCTCTGTTTTAAGTGCTATAAATAGAGAGGAAATGTCTATATTTAGAGCCATTTGTGTATGTATTGTGGCCGTGAAGGCAGCAGTTCATGTATTGTTGGTTACAGAATTAAAGAGCACGTTGTCGTAAAAAATGCTGTAATAAAATTGAGTAATGAGAGAATCTGTAGGAAGATGACATGATAATGAAAGCCAAGAGAGGAAAGATTTTAAAAAATGTAAAAATGAATAGATATGAAGCAGAAAGGGAAGACGCGTTAGGAGAATTAAAGCTAATCGTATGTAAGAGAAGAGAAAATAAAGGAATATTAGGGGAAAAATGGGAATGAATGAAATACAGTAAGACGTAGTGAAATAATAATGACAGGGATGACTTGAGAAACATCCACAATTTAAAGCGAGCGGTATAGATAAAAGCTTAGGTGTGGGAACATTGTTAGAATAGTAGAGTAAAGAGGGAATATGGATGTATAGTACTTAACAAGGCTCAGAGTGTAAAGGATGAAAAGATCTGCAGAATGAAGGAGGAAGAAAAATGATAAAGGATATGTGAAAAGCAGAATGAAACTTGGTCGCATGTGCTTGGAGGTTGCAACGAAATTCTAAAGAGTGTTTTTATGAAGGAGTTTTAAAAGGGAGAGTGTAAATTTATTACTATGTGAGAAGTAGAAATGCACCGGAAATAAACTAATTTGGAACATGGGGATGTTTTTTGGGGGACCAATAGGAAATTAAACCTGTACCGTGTGAAATATCAAATGAATGGGCTTGTTGCGAGGAACTCGGATATACCTATATATTTTTTATAATTTTAAAGATATTTAAGAAAATAAATGAAAATTGGCCTTCCCCCTTAATCTCCGAAACTACATGGCAGTTTTTTACAGTAATGTCGTCGTCACGCCACGTCGTACTTGATACCTGGAAAAATTATTATCTGCCTGTAATTTTAATAACTGTAGTGTGTGCAGCACTCGGAAGTTGCGTTTTTGAACTTCCGTTCAACTAGAATGTTTTCAAATAAAACTAGTAGATAATTTGGTTTGGTGTTAAGATTTCATACATACTAACAACAAACAACTTTAAATTTACTTAAAACTAGAGAACAACTAGGAAAGGCGGTGGAGTCTAATTGAAAATATTTCATTGTGAAGGATAAATGTTGGAACTTTCTGAATGTTATCATATACGAGAGGGTATCGAGTGCAACCAGATACAGAAAATTTTTGAGAATAAGTAAGAATGAGCTGACAATGAGCCAGGTATTAGTGACAATCAGAAAAACCTCATTTATACTATACTTCATTTACATTCTCTAGCGACGTGCCTCTTCCAATGTCTTGGATGCGCGCTAGCAAAATCGTAGGTAGGGAGAAAAAAGCTCATTATACTCTTTTTCATACAGTACCTTTTAAAAATTTTGTTCGACCATGAGTAGTAGTGCGAGTCGAAAACAAGCGTTAAATCCTTTAATATGTCTTCAAATATAAACAAACATAGAAAATATCACAAATGGCGCGGTAAACGCCATCTGTAGTACGATACTACATTTTAGGATTACGTATGCTCCAACAAGGTCCATTTAAATATATGGATATCTACTTCCTGAAACGAATCCCGGCGTAGCTAACCTCAACGTGATAGGCACATTACCATAATCGAATAAAATACTTCGAAGTGTTTCGACAGAATACAGATCACTACGTAATCCTAAAATGTAGCATCGTACTACAGGTGGCATTTACCGCGCCATTTTTGGTATTTTCTGAAACGCGCTGTTCAGACAGCAGGTAAAAGTTGGTCTGTGTTCTGTTGGAGCTGCCTGCGACGCGCTGATGAGATCCAAAAAGATCGAAATCGCGATGCGCGTCTGGCAGTTTCGACAGAATACAGACCACTTCGAATTATTTTATTATAAACAAACATCTCGTTGATATTTTCAGTAGTAAATGGTACCAATAACAGCACATTTGAGCAATGTAATTGTAGTGGATAAAATGGTCAATTTTTCCATGCAGTACTGTATGGATTATACGCTCCTCACCGGTTAACAGTTTGGCCGAGAGTTGTCTCCTTCCTTTTCTGGCCTAGTGCTGTTCTTTTCTACTTTGCGTCGGCCAAACTAAAGGTCACATCGCTACAGAAACTAAACGATGTATTCCAGGAACATTTGAATTCCGCACGTACATTTTGTCTGTACAACAATGAGAATATTCACAAAATATCATAAAGCCAAACAATAGAAGAAAGGAATTTATGACCTATAACAGTTTAAGAAATGTTATAATGCTGAACTGAACAAAACAACAAAGAAATTTGAAATGTAATGAAAGTAATTAATTACACTAGATCTAACCAACCGGAAAAGTTTTTCAATTAAAATAATTGTAAAAATACAGATAATTAATAGCTCTAAACATACTGCAAAGCTTAACAACTATTCTGAACTATTAGATATCAAAATTTTTATCACACAATATTTTTTAACTTTAATTTCTTGTAAATGTGTTATTATAAACACTTGGTGTTTATTACTTTGTATGAATTTTGCTCAATGTATAAAATAAATGACTGGAGACTAGTGTAAACAAGATAAAAATTTATTGGCTGTAAACGTTCTAAATGACCGAACAATATTCCTGTCAAAAAGGTTAAATCTCTTCTAAATAAAGGTCACGTAATGTTGTTGCTATTCTGTGAATAGATAAAGCAGATTGTTAGATTACGATATGAGAAGACAAGCAAATTCTTTACTTCTCCGTATATCTGCTACGAAGATAATGAATCAACACGTTTTCTTATAACACGTATGTAGGTTCAGTAGACTTGTACTTTGATTTTATTTCACAGAAATGTCAGAAAGAAATAAAATAAAATTTCCCCGCACACCATAATATCATTTGTTAGTATAATAACTAGGTTTTATCCTCTAACGTTGATGTCCTAAATACGTGTCATTTTCTATTCTTGGGGAATAGCGTTTGTTTTTTTTTTCTGGATAAAAAGTACCCTATGTTCTTTACTGCACCTCTGACCATGTGTCTACCAAATTTCATGATGATCGATTGATTAGTTAAGGCGTGAAATCGACTACATAAAACTAATTTTTCTACCCTTCGATAAGATCTTTTTTTGCAGGGGCGGATCGTGAATTTGCGAGGTCCTTGGCTAATACTACTTAGGGGTCTACCTAATTACTCAACTAATTGCCATTCTGTCAAAAAACTGTCGTCTATAGTGATGTAGGTATACGGTTTAGAAAAAAAATAGGAAAATAAAATATTTTAACAGAAGTGTGGAAAACAACTGCGTCGGGCGATAAGCGGCGGGAAATTCCCCACATGCACACGCGAGAAAATATACCGACCGAGAAAAAGCGATGGGGAAGTCCCCGTTCCGTTCGATAGACGTGCACACAGCTTGATCGATCGTAGGGTTATAACTAATTTGTTTTTAATTTTAGATATTTTTTTGCATGAGTGAACTAATTTTTCGATTAGCTTTACCCATTACAGATAACCTCAAATTAATGAGGAAAAATAGTTGATGCTATCACCTGAACCCCTAGTTTTACGCACCAGTACTCTGCCACTAAACTATGATGAGGAGACAGCAGCAAAACCGATGATATTTTTCCTCGTTAAGTTTCTCTAGCGATGTGACCTTTAGTTTGACTGGCGCAAAGTAGAAAAGAACAGCACTAGGCCAGAAAAGGAAGGAGACAACTCTCGGCCGGTGAGGAGCGTATAATTAGTACAGTACTGCACGGAAAAATTGACCATTTTATCCACTACAATTGCATTGCTCAAATGTGCTGTTATTGGTAACATTTTCTACTGAAAATATCAACGAGATGTTTATTTATATTTGAAGACATATTAAAGGCTTTAACGCTTGTTTTTGACTCGCACTACTATTCATGATTGATTCATGTATGAAAAAGTATGTTTAATGAACAAGAGTCGAGAGTATAATGAGCTTTCCCTGCCTACGATTTTGCCAGAGCGCATCCAAGACATTTGAAGGGGCACATCGCTACACAAAGTAAATGAAGTATAACTAAGAGTACAGATTGCACAATCTTCGAACCAATGTATAATCATTAATAAAAAATTTAAAGTATCTTATAGTTTTTTTCCTCACAATATCGTCTATTGTTTGCAATGGAGGCCGGGGGTCTTTTATATCTACAGCGCCCTGGGCTGCAGCCCAAAAAGGCTTTAGGTAGATCCGCCCTGTTTTTCTGGCCCTGCAGTGTTGAGTAGGTAGTAGACCAAATAAATCCTCTGGGTATTTGGTCGGACGCTTTTCTACATTATTTATTCATACATATTATTGAAAAGGGCTGCACGAAGCAGTTCCGTGCATTACTTCGGAAACTTATACCGCTCCCCGCTATACCCACGAATTTAAGCGAATGAGCTGCATTCAACTCAGCTAATGAGTGTATAGAATTTTGTTTATCACTAGCCGCTATCGATCGTAATGTTAACTTTTTGCAAGTAATTATAAGTAATTATTCTTTAATTATGTATGCAGGCTAACGACATAACTGATTAGTGGTAACTAAAATATGATACAAACATGTTTTCAATGTTATTTAAAAATGATGAAGATGTAAAATAATGGTATAGTATAGAGGATAGAATATGTTTTACCTTGTGTGTTAAATTACCTGTGAGAATGGACGGATCTTAGTTCTTGTTTCCACTTGGAACTGTAGTCATTTGCTGCGTTTTGTACACGTCCTTGTTAAATTAAGAAATGCTTTATGAGGAGTACAGACAAATTGAAAAGAGGTAATCGAATAATAGTAAGTGGTGCAGCGGTTAGAGGTTGCTCAGGTATGCAAAAGATCAGCGTCGTCTTTATAACTGACTGGTTGAAATTATATCTTTAAACAAGCGTCTGTGCTTTCCTAAATTCCTGAGAATGTTGAACTTTCTACGAAGTCCGATGCTTGCAACATGCTCAATTTCTGTTTGTCTGCGTCTCATTCTGTTACATATCAATTGGTGTAATGTTATTCCTTTTTCTTTATTACTGTCCGCTGCAACTTGACTTGACATATCTTTTCTATGTTTACGATATTCCCTACGTCTATCGTGAGTAAAAGTAAGCGTTCTGTCAGCAACCGCTCTAGTCTGTTTAGTAAGTTGAAAGAAGAAAGTAATTGCAACAGTTTCATTGCTGTCTATTGAATAAAATAATTCGAAGTGGTCTGTATTCTGTCGAAACTGCTAGACGCGGATCGCTGTTTCGATCTTTTTGGATCTCATCAGTGCGTCGCAGACAGCTCCGACAGAACACAGATCAACTTGTACCTACTGTCTTAACAATGAGTTTTAGAGAATACTACAAATGGCGCGGTAAACGCCATCTGTAGTATGATGCTACATTGTAGGATTACGTATGCTTCAACAAGGTCCATTTGTATGGATATCTACTTGCTGAAACGAATCCTAGCGTAGCTAACTTGAACGTGATAGGCACGTTACCATAATCGAATAAAATAATTCGAAGTGGTCCGTATTCTGTCGAAACTTCCAGATGCGGATCGCAATTTCAATCTTTTGGATCTCATCAGTGCGTCGCAGACAGCTCCGACAGAACACAAATCAACTTTTACCTACTGTCTTAACAATGCGTTTTAGAGAATACCATAAATGGCGCGGTAAACGCCATCTGTAGTACGATGCTACGTTTTAGGATTACGTATGCAACAACAAGGTCCATTTGTATAGATATCTACTTGCTGAAACCATACCGTATGGTAACGTGCCTATCACGTTGAAGTTAGCTACGCTGGGATTCGTTTCAGCAAGTAGATATCCATACAAATGGACCTTGTTGAAGCATACGTAATCCTAAAATGTAGCATCGTACTACAGATGGCGTTTACCGCGTCATTTGTGGTATTTTCTATTGCGGACTATGTCAATTTGGAAGATACCAACTACAGTTCAGAATTTTTTGAACTGTGTCCTTGGGTTGAGCAGTAACAAGTGTCCGCGTGTTCAATGATTCATACATTTCTACCTATTAAAGACATTGACTGCCACAGTTCCTAAACTTACCTGGATCTCTATTCGTGGTTGTATAGCCAATGTTTTTGTAATGCACAATATGAATGCAGAAGGCTCATGAGATTTTCAACTAGCTATATCTGTTGTATTTCTAAAATTAAATCAAGCCTGAGATTACTCAAAGGCGCTGATAAATAATACATATATGTACTGCATGCATCTGATATATAAAAGGTATATGTGTATGTAAATGTTTGATGGTTATACGTCTCTGTGGTCATAGTATCAGAGGAAATTTCAACATGATGGAGTAAATTTGTAGCTAGTATCCCGGAAATGATTTGCCAATGATTATGGACGTGACGGCTACCCCGACTTTCACCAACGTCCCTTTAATATTAAGCTTTTATTGGGAAGAATATTTGCATTTTGCGATTAGGTTGCCATTGTTTGTTTAACATTGTGCTCACCTGGAGAGTAAAATTCAGTTCCATTGTCTATCTAAAATGCAGCAGCTTCTGTTGATTCAAACAAACGGCGTAGTAAGCGAGGTAATTTTTGTTTTTAATTAACTTTTCTTATTATATAGAATGGAAGTATGAATCAGTCTTCTGTTCCTTGAGAAGTAATTATTTGTCGTAATAAATAAATAAAAGAAAATATTACTTAGATTGACTTTTCAACTGGCTTTGGACGTAGATTTGGGATATCGGCTGAAAGAACTTATTTAAGGATTCCAACTATATACATTATTAAATTTTGTGTTAATTTTTAATTTGTACATTGAAGATGCGATTGATACTGTAAAAGACAAGGCAACTTTTGGAGTAAATGTACAACGCCAAAGAATTATTAACACGTTTACATTTGCTACTGATGCAGTAGTATTGACAGAAGAGTCATCATCATAAGGTCGTCAGTCCCAAGACTGGTTGGACACGTACCTCCACTCTTTCTTATCCTAAGTTAATCTTCGCATTTCCTTAAAACTAGAACTACACAGAAGAATAAGAAAAGAAAATAAATAAAAATCAAACAAAACTATTGACATTTAAGAATATAAATGGAATAGATTGGAAAATAACAATTACATGAAATCGCAAATTTAGATACCTGTACGAGAAACGAGGAGGAATTGGAAAAATAAATAGGAATGAAACAGATGATGCTATGGAAATAGTAGAATAAAGATTCTGTCCAACAGAATAGTTCACTTAGACCACGGCCCTATAGCCCGAATCTTTATTCTACTATGGATTCCGGTCGTGAAAGCCTTTGTTCTTATATTGATGCTATGGAAGTCAATACGGAAAAGAGATGTGATGGTAGGTCCGAGATACGAAGCACCAATACGTATGAAACATATTGTATGTAAAGAGGAACAAATAAATTACTAAATGGGAATATCAAATAATAGTGTGGATATCGTTTGAAAGGTTTAACATCAGAACATCCAATCGCTTTTTTTGTAAATTGAGTGCTGTAGCATCATACACACGTAGATATTGATACAAGCATTAAAAATGAGCAAAAAGCTGGTCTTGCGCATTAGGTGATGGCCTTTGTATTGTAGAACATGTTCTGAAGTTGGAGCTTGGTTTTGCACATTGGGCTTTGGTCATGGTTTTGACTTTTCCCATTACAATTTTTGAGGGATGATGTTCAAAAAGCTTCCTCGAAATTACATAGGTACTTGTAAATTCTGTGGCACGTATTCAGAAAATGTTAGTACTTATTGCAAGTGAAATATGACGCAGATGCTTCAAATTAATGAGTGATGCTAAAATCAATATGATTTTGATGAAAGATTTTTAAGAACTGCAGTAACGAATAATATGCAAACATTTTCATTTATAGGAAACAATTTGAGATTGAATTACCAGAAAGTTATCTAGATCTTGGTTTAAGATTTCAGTTTTGTGTCTGATACTTGATCGGCTTATATCATTGAGTTCTTTTGGGCTGGGAGCTCGGGAAGTTGAACATTATTCCCGGAGTCTCCCGGGTCAAACGGGAGGGTTGGGAACCGTAATTACAACGCGTGAGGATTTGGGCACCCTACATTGTCTCATTGGCTCTTTCCTTTATTCTTGCGAAATTTTATTTAACGCTTACAGAAAAACAAAGCAATTATCCTGGTGTTGAACAACATTTCTGAAGAGTTTATTGGGGATCGGTATTTCTATGTCGCCAGAAATTTGTAACATGGGAGAGTTATTACCACCTTCCAAGAAGGCCCAACAGCCTGCCACCAAATGAACAGTGCATTTTTGTACATAGGTTCTTTACATATGTTGGTAATTTAGAAATTGACACAAGTGACCATGGTAATATAGAATCAGGTAGTAAGTAAGTAAAATAAGGGCAGAGCAGTATGAAATAAGTCATCAGATGACGAACATCATTTTTAGAGAAGTTTGTAACCGATATTTATGGTGATTTAAGAGATTTGTATATATCAGAGCCGGGCAAACTTTAACTTCGAAGGAGGCGCTACCTGAGGTTAGTTTGGGTCACTCTATACCTTTCAATGAAGATGAGAGAGTAAGCAGTAATGACCCCATATTGCTTTCTCATTTTCTTCTCCCTTCTATGCTCATATCAAGCCCCTCCGTCCCGTCCTCTCGCAACTTAAATAATATCTACGAAAATTTTCTAATGATCATCCCGCAGTTCAGGGGTAGCATGCCGGACTACGGTCGCAATACTATAAGGTTCGGCTATGGAAGAAGGGACTCACCTACGAAATGGAAGGGATAAGAAAAGGAAATAATAATCTCACTCGTACTCGCAGAAGCAATGAGGAGCTCCTTGGCTGTACCTGAGGAGCACTCGGGAGTCAAAAGTTTTGTTTTGAGTTTTCCCGGCTCTGGTATATATAGTTATTTATAAATTAAAGCAGTTTATAGTACTGTTTTTATTAAACAAATCAAACAAACGAGAAAAAGCCAGCAATGCTTCAGTTAGTAGCACCAGTACAATTNTGAGAGAGTAAGCAGTAATGACCCCATATTGCTTTCTCATTTTCTTCTCCCTTCTATGCTCATATCAAGCCCCTCCGTCCCGTCCTCTCGCAACTTAAATAATATCTACGAAAATTTTCTAATGATCGTCCCGCAGTTCAGGGGTAGCATGCCGGACTACGGTCGCAATACTATAATTTTCGGCTATGGAAGAAGGGACTCACCTACGAAATGGAAGGGATAAGAAAAGGAAATAATAATCTCACTCGCACTCGCAGGAGCAATGAGGAGCTCCTTGGCTGTACCTTAGGAGCACTCGGGAGTCAAAAGTTTTGTTTTGAGTTTTCCCGGCTATGGTATATATAGTTATTTATAAATTAAAGCAGTTTATAGTACTGTTTTTATTAAACAAATCAAACAAACGAGAAAAAGCCAGCAATGCTTCAGTTAGTAGCACCAGTACAATTATCAATTCTTTGCCAACATACAACACATAGTTATGACAAACTTGTGCTATCCAAAATTTTATTTCATTACACTCTAAATCACAAATAGGAAGGAAAACAACTCAGTAGGTACTTAGTTTTTGTAGTCGATAAGGTTCATTTGAGTAAAATGTAGTCGACTAGCAAATGTCTCCATTCTTTGAACTTTGGCCCAGAGATGACACGAGAAGAATCGAGAAAGTTCATTTTCTCAAGGAATAATAACCTAAATAAAATATGTATGTGATAAAGTGCTCGTCAACCGCGTGCTCCACCTCTTTTATCGTGCACCTGCGTCTCGACGCTTATCCGGCGTCGTCGCGTGCGTGTTGCCGGCGTCTTTTCCGAGTGGGCATCAGTTTGTTGTCGGGAGAGTGACGGCGGACGCGACTTCAGTTGAATGCAAGGAGTACACGGACGAAGAACCGCGTTCACCACCACCATCTACCTGAATCTCACCATCACTTACAAATAATACTTTACTCCTTGCGGCGCGCGTGTGTCTCATTGTTTTTGGTGTTTTTGTCGCGTATATGTATGTATGATTTTCGTGAACAATAACAGTAAATAATAGTAATTGTTATCCCGCGGTGTAACATGTGGCACGTCCTGAAGTCGCGCGAACATGCGACCACCCGATTGACGATCGTCCACTGATGGGAATCCCCGCTCGAGTAATTTACCATCCCAATAAGAATGACGATCACCGTAGCTCTTATTAGTGTAATCGACGTAGTGATGAACGACACCTAAGTAGTCGGTATGTTACTATAATCGCAAGATATATTTCAATCATTTGTCTATTTGTAAACATTTAATAAAAATATATTAATGGGTCTTCTTTAAAATGTCCAAAAAAGGGTATTAATTCAATTATCTGCTTATAAGTCCGACTTTTCCGAGTCATTTATTTTCACCAGGATCATTCTTTAAAAATTGTATTCTGGTTAGGATTGACTTAGATGAGATAACCACATACTAAAGAAAATGGAGTTTAAGTGGCTCTTCTCTGGAAGTGTTTATTGAAGGAAAAGGTTATTTTTGGGGAGTGTTAAAAAAATACAATACCCAGAGGCGTCGCTAAGCGTCGGGACGTCGGCGGTCTTGTGCCTCAATACGGGGCTTCGTAAAAAGTTCACCATTCTAAAAGGATCATACGTATCAGTTGCGTTTATCCACAGTCGTCTGGAAAACTAATAGTTATGGGATTTCCCAGCCAAAGGAATCGTCTCCAGGGCAGAAACTTGCAAGAAAATGTAGAGAATTCCTAGAAGCTTTTATTTCTGCTTGTCAGCCTTAATACAGTGAAGTTTTGTGGAGTTCAATTGATTACCACTTTTCGTGACCTAGACATGAAACAGACCTGACAATGCAGATTTCGTGGTTTAGTTCCACCGCTGACAATAACAATCAAGAAAGAAGTTTAGGGGTTGTATGAAGTTTTAGTTCCATTTTGGATTAGATAAATCGACGGCTTTGATTTCTTTATATTCTCTAATAAAAGGACGATATTGACGTTTAGGATTATCCATCCTGGAAAAGGGAACGAAACCCTTATAAAATAACTATAGTATTAATACTGAAATGTATTGATGTTAATATTTTAGAGATGGCAAGATACAGAAGGTAGTTTTTCTTTCATTTCTTTGGGCCATGCGTTTTAGTTTTATTTGGGATACTTCAGAGCTACTATAAAATTCAATATCCTTAAATTTTGAAATCAATATATTCAATAAAAGTAAGTGTAGTTTGACCGTACGTGTCGCTGAAGCTCCTCAACCGAATCCCACAGTCTCTTAAGGGGAATATGGTATGATAGCCTTCCATCTTCGTCCATGAAGAAATTTTCGGTTTTTAGCTGTAGGGATTGGTTTCAAGGATATGGGGGTTAAAAGACTATCGCCTTAAAGTTCTTCCCATCTACAGAGTTAGTAAATGTGTTAATTGAGTCAGAACCTTACAGACTGCCACAGATTTTTCTTGAATGCCCTAATCTACAGGGTTCGAGAATGTTTTAGAATTTTCTAGAAGGTTGGAGAATTCTTCCGAACGATAACCACCTTTTTACTGAGCGAACCAAGGGTAATCTGACTTGTTATATATTAAAATTAGAATTGTGAATACAGCAAAGTTCCTACATGTTTTTCTAAAAATTTTAGGAACATTGCAGATTTTATATAATCGTTATTAAGAAATTTGCGACTTTTTGTTACATCCATTGCCTTGGTATGGAACCGTCACGATCAGTTTTTCTATTAGACGATATTGTTACTTAACTGCCAACATTTAAATTATTTACATGCAATGGAGTTTTCCCAGTAGGTACTGTATTTTTCCAATCTATAAAGCACATCGTTATCCCTGTAGTTTATTATAAAAATGCCTTGAAGTGATTTATGAGTGGTCTTACGCCTCATATTCTGTATTACCCACCATGCTCGTCTTTTGTTTTTCTTACGTGTACTATAAAAATCCACCGGGGAACTTTGAAGGAAATGTAATTTTGTCATGAATAATGAATGACGTAGGTTACTTTACGAGTAAAAGCGGTTTGAAGCAAGACAATATTTCATTTTGGTTGGAAGTTAAGTAGATATTTACGTTACGTGTACTACAGACTTACAAACTTTATCCACGATAACTGTAATAATTCCAGCATATCTGTTAAGCTTTCACTATTTTTTACTTTGCGAAGCTCAGTGCAGCTGTCTGGCAATAGGTAAATATAATGCTACGTTTAAGAAATGCAGAATTAAATCTGTATATGAGCAACATACAACACCATCCAGAATTCAAAACTGGGAAGTTGAAATGTGACGTCAATACTGGGAGTCCTAACGGTTCTTCCACATCAATCTAGTGTATTGTTGCTGTTAGGAATTGTAAGTATACTAAAGAAGTTAAGAGTTCTTTGTTTCTACTCCGTGGGGGAGACGAACGATCAAGGGGGAGATTCATCATCATGATCATAAGTAGTCAGTCTTAAGACCAGTTGTACACGAACCTCCATTCTTTTTCTATTCTGAGCTAATCTTCGCATTTCCCTAAAAATACTAGAACATCCCACTTCCTTTATTATTTTTAGGCCAACTTCTACTACTTTTGACTAGTGTTTCTGCTTCTAGTATGTCTCTGACTAGCCCTTCATGACTGAGAAGGAGTTTTATCAATCCATCTCACTTATTTCTTATTGACTTCCATTGAGTCCTTTGTTTACCGTTCGCGAGCATATCAGTGACTTCTTTTTATTGAAGGCGACTCGACCATGCGCTATCCTCTGCTTTATATCCCTACTACTTCTTCCATCCTGACTTATTTGACTTCCTACTATAGATATCGAAAATCAGCCACTTCTTCTAAATTTTCGTTGAGTATTTTAAAAACATTTTAAAAATCCTTTATCTTTTACCTAATTCAAAGCCAAATTAGAATGGAATAGTAGTTCATTACAAATACTTAAAAGTTATTTTTCGTGACACAAGCAGTCAAACTGTAGTAGTCAAATTTTCCGTTTTTGATAAATCTCCTTGAATTAGACCACTAATATATTGACTTTGTAATTTTCCTGCTTTGTTTGGGTGACAGCTTTCTGAAGAGACGCCGTCAGTCAGCGCTTGTCGATTGAAATTGCCGTAGCACTCATTGGTGTTTACTGTTTCTCCTAAGTCTACAATGCTAATATTCATAAAAATGAATAATATTCGATAAATTTGTTGTTTACTAGTTTAGCATGGGTCGAAATTTCGACCAGTTTGCTTTCAAATCAACTTCAACACATTAAAACAATTACAAAAACATAAAACCGGATGTGTTCGGATTCGGTTCCAGACGATTGAATTACCTTTTCTTACGATTAGTTTTTTATCTACCTTAACGCCAACATACACAAACGATTTAAATTTTTTGCCCACATAAGTATAGCAAAACTCTTCTCCCTCTTTTATAATAAATAACAAAAAAAAAACGTATCAGAAGTTGCGACGTTGACGTATTAATATAATGATTTCAAGATCTTGACTGACGATGATGATGAAGTGTTCGCTGGTTTGAAAATATCTTTAGCAATATCGTTTCAACGAATACAATTTTTTTTTCTTCGTTATGTCGGGATTTGAAACCACTCAATTTGTGATAGAGCAAACGTGAAAATTCGTAAAATTTTGCCGAGACTTCCGTCGCTAGATTACGTCATCTCCACGTTTCATCGTTTCATAATTCATAGAGGGTGGAAATCGCAGCTTTCTACTAGATCGTAATTGAAGTAGAAATTGGGAGATCGAGCAGCAGATGTGATAATGTTATTGCTTACAGGAGTTTAAACCGAACAGAAATGCGATGGTACGCGTCAGAAGCAGAAAAGATTAAGATTTTTATCGACCCTAAAGAATAATGCCGATGAAATTGAAAAAAAATTGCTTTGTCTGGATTTCGATAGGTTAATAAAATGATCCGATACGAAAAGGTCTACGATAAAGAGCAAAGAACAAAAACATAAAGGAATAGGTTAGTCAATTTAACTACAATATTTGAGGTGCAGAACCATCAAATGATTGGTGCTACATCAGTATGCGGTCTACCTCTAACGTGTTACGATCGTTAGTAAACTTAAAGACAACTTGAACGAAGTGAGATGTAGTAATCATGTCGTTCCTTTTGTTTACAAGAATGTAGACTTAAAGAAAAACAACGATGGTAGACCATATATATTACATTCCTGACGGTGGACAGACCATCAAAGGAGATACATGTCAATAGATCTCATATTAGAGATGTTTATTGGTAGACCGTGTATTAAATGACACACTTGTGAGTAGGCCGCATCTTAAAGGTGATATTTGTTGGTAGACCCCATATTAAAGGAAATTTTTGTTGGCAGTTACCAATTTAAAGTAAATAGTTGTCGTTTGACTCCATATTAATAGAGGATATATTTGTCAGTACACCGTATATTAAAGGATAGGCGGTAGACCGCATATTAAAAGATATACTTGTCGGTAGACTGCATTTTAAAGGTCATTTACGAGATACTTGACGGTATGCAGCACGTTTAAGGAGATTCGTGGTGTAGACTGCATATTAAATGATATACTTACTTGTCGGTTGACCGTAAATTAAAGGAGATTCCTACTTGTCGGTTGACCGTAAATTAAACGAAATTCCTACTTGTCGGTTGACCGTAAATTAAAGGAGATTTCTACTTGTCGGTTGACCGTAAATTAAAGCAGACACCTACTTGTCGGTTGACCGTAAATTAAAGAAGGCACTTGTTGGTAGACCGCATACTAAAGTACCACGATAAGTGCGTTTGCATCAAAAGGTATAGACTGGGCGAATCAATCAAAAAATCAATGGCAACAGCACGTTGAAGTCACCTTTTGTAATACTATTATGTTGTAATTTGTAGCCTCTGCGTCGGAGTGTAAAACATTTTAATATTTTGTTGGCTTTTGATTGATGAATAATTGATCTTATTGATCTTTTAGTTATGATGTGTAGGGGTTACTTGTTGTACGCCCCTGATTCGTTATTTAAATCCCCTATAACCGCAAACTATATTAACCAAATTGCCGATCGAATATTGAATGATGTACTGACGGATTTGACGAACTTGATCGTTTATCGTATTATTAATTAGAATATTAATCTTCATATGGAAACTAATAAATAACGAGATTTGATTCTAATTAATTACATACGCAGCAGGATTGCCAGCCACACCTCTTGTATTCTGATCCATTTTATCGGATAAATAATAATTGT